ATACTTATTCTAGCAAGCACATTCCACACCCTATGTCCCGAATTCACAAAGGAGGTTTGTCGATAAACCTCCTTTTGTTTCGCCAAACCTCCTTTTGTTTTTTACAAACCAGGTTTGTAAAAAACGGGTCATATGATTTGTCGACGAACCTCCTTTGTGAATTCGGGCCTATGGGTTGGGATGTGCAACCACCTAATGTACTGGTATAGCTTATACAGGCATATTACAATTGCTTGCCACACCTTTTTTCATCACTTCTCTTGAGCTGTTCATATAGAGCACACGTATTCTGGAGAGTCTTGGGTCGATCTACAGCAAAGCTAATTCAGCTTCATCTTAATTCTTGTCCTATTTCTTCGCTTGTTTCTCTACACGGTTCTGAGGCCTTATTACTTTATAGAGATTATAAGTTTCTTCTTCATTACTTAATTAGGAAAGAAGCGTTATTACTTTGTACATGGTCTTACATATTCTTTCTACGGGTGCTGTGCAATATTTGAATTACTACTTGTGAGATAATATATGTCCATAATATAAGAGTCAGCATTACAACAGGTGTATCTACGAGACAAGGTAGGAAAGAAGCCATTTTCTATTTCTTTAATTTAGGTGATTCCCTAAAGTATCATTTTTGTGTGGTATGTGTTCATGCTTGGATGAACAGGAGGCATTGTTGACGAGAGTGCAAAAATCGACTTGCGCCATAGTGATATGTTGGGATTAAAGTGAGAGAATGAATTGAATGTATCAAATGAGATGCATTGCATATGCTTTTTGCAGAAGGAAAGTCAAACAAACACACACATATACGCATGCAAAAATGTTTGTTGATATTTGATATGTAAATTGATGAAATGATGATAGGAAACACTTTCTTCAACAAACCAGACAGTCACCTTATCACATACGACTCTGGGGGAAACAAAACCCAAATTGATTACATCCTGGTATGAGCCACTGATTGGGCCATGATGAAGAATGTGAAAGCATTTGCCAGAGAGGAATGTGTCTCTCAGCACCACCTAGTAGCTGCAGACCTCCACATAAAGGCCGGTAAGAAGAAACAAAGGAAATTCAAACCAAGGCTGCAGATCTTGAAACTTCAGAAGAAAGAAGTACAGGAGGACTATCACTCTATTATTGAATCCAGACATGCAGAGGTCCAAGAGGCCAGTGGTATAAAAGATAAATGGCTGGCAATGAAAAAGATTTGGCTTGAGGTAGCAGCAGCGGTGTGCGGATGGACACGAGGAAAAAGCAGACACAAAGAAACCTGGTGGTGGAATGATGATGTCGCAGAGGCTGTTGAGGAGAAGAATGCAAAGTTTAAAATCTGGAATCATTCAGGGAGGAAGACCACAAAGCATACAAGATAGCAAAGAGAAACTCACGGCAAGTGATTTGGGAAGCCCAGGAGGCCAAGAGGCCAGCGAGCTTCTGGAGGAAATAACAGAAGGGAATCAAAAGAAACTATTCCAGATAGTTGAGCAGATGGCACAAGCTGTTGTGGACGTGATGGCCTCAACATGTGTGAAAAATGAGGCTGAAAACATTGTCATTGAGGCTGCTTTAGTGAAAGAAGCATGGAGGAGTTACATGGAATGCCTCATGAATGTTGAAAACTCATGGGATGGGATTACTGAATGTGACGCAACAGAGGGGCCAAGATGTCTCATCTCACAAGGTGGGTTGCTTGCGCCCTTTTACTCTCCAGCAAGGGAAAGGCAGCTGGTCCATCAGGAGTGGTCACGGAACTCATACTAGCATCAGGGAAGCATGGTGTTGAGTTGTTGATAGATCTTTTCAACAATGTTCTAGATGAAGGTCACATTCCATCTGACTGGACTCTGAGTGCAGTAGTCCCACTCTATAAAGGAAAAGGAGACCCACTGGCCCGTGGGTCTCATCGAGCCACATCAAGCTTCTCTAGCATGCCATGAAGATCTATGAGAGAGTTCTGGAAAAGATAATCAGAGAGCAGGTTGCAGTTGATGAAATGCAGTTTGGCTTTATGCCAGGAAAGGGAACTCTTGATGCTACATTCACTGTACGTCAGATGCAAGAAAATTTTCTTGCAAAGAAGCAGCAGCTGTACTTTGCATTTGTCGACCTAGAGAAGGCCTTTGACCGAGTACCAAGGGAGGTTGTCAGATGGGCGTTGAGGATGGCAGGTGTTGAGGAGTGGCTCGTACGAGCAGTCATGGCACTATTTGCAGAAGCAAAAACACACATCTAAACATCGTGTGGTGACAGCAAAAGCTTTGATGTCAAAGTAGGAGTTCACCAAGGCTCAGTGCTCAGTGCTCAGTCCTCTCCTCTTCATCATCGTAATGGATGTCATCTCAAAGGACATCCGGGAAGGCTTTCCATGGGAATATGTGGAGTAAGTGGAATATGTGGTAGCCTGCAAGCAGCAAGTAAGACATTCATCTGTAAGAGATGCTTAGGTACAATCTCAAAGAAGTGTACCAGTGACAATGTGACAGGTCTGGATCTTCATGGAACGACATATGATAAGGTGGATAAGTTCTGTCACCTGGGAGACATGTTGGCTGTCAGAGGAGATCGAGACAGCAGCTGTGACTGCAAGAATCCAAAGTGCTTGGAAAAGTTTCGTGAACTCTCTCCTTTCCTCACCTTAAGGGCGATCCCGTTAAGAGTGAAAGGGAAGGTGTATATGCCTGTGTTAGAAAATGCATGACGTACAGGAGTGAAACATGGGCAATGAAATCATCCAGTGTACACCGAATGGAGAAAGCTGATCGAGATGAGGATGGTGAGGTGGATGCGGAGGGTATCACTTCACGAGAGAAAGAAGAACAAAGACCTCCTTTAATCAATGGGATTGATGGGGGTGGCACAGGTTATGAGGATGAATAGACTTAGATGGTTTGGACATGTGGCAAGAAGAGAGGCAACACACTGGCTACAGAGGGCTCTAAACTTTCCGGTCACCGGGAGAAGACCTCGTGGGAGATCCAGGAAAACTTGGAGGGAAACCATAGAAGATGATGCCAAAACATCGGGTATCAGTCATATGGATCCCACAGACAGGAAAGCTTGGAAAGCAGCCATTAAGGAAATGAAATGTCCAACCTCACAAAGTGGGACAAATGGACTCTAAACGCTGATGATGTTGCATGATTAATTTTTGTTAGGGATGTTATTTGGATCTGCAATGACCGAATTAATACCCAAATCCCAATTGTTTTATTCAAATAAGCATCTTTGGCGCAAGTAGATTTTTGCACTCTCGCAAACAATGCCTTAGTTAGTTTAGGATGCAATCTTCTCTAGAGATGAGGTGACCTAAATATTGGTAGATGCCATGTCCCACTGCATTTGTATCGTGATTAGTTTGAGTATGTTTCTATATTGCGTAAGACTGATAGAATGATAAGGATAGCTCACTCATTTGCAGAATTGTATTATAAATATATGTATGTGAAAGTAATAAATAGGGAGTGGCCTTCATGGCAGATTTATTTACTACATGCATTTCATTGGCTGAGGTAAACTCAATATAAACAATGTACATGTATGAACTAAATTGCATACACTGTATACATACATGCCAACATTTGAAAATCAGAAATCTGTACACTATGTGCGCGAAGCGCACATCACGAGCGCGAAGCGCGAAGTTTTTAGCCGGGGTCCAGGGCCCGCTTTAGGGCCCTGGAAGCTCTGGGTTTCCAGATGCTCTCTGGTGCAATCTGAGCCTATTTTAGGGACCATTTCCCCTAAAATTTAACCCAAGTTTATGGGTAATTTTTGTGTCATACCAAACAAAAAAGTGATTGAAGTGAATTCCACATTTTAATTTATCCTTGGCAGAGGCAGAGCAGATAATATTAATAGACATAGGTCTAGATTTAATTAGCCACTCATGCAGAGTGATGCATTTAAGTCTAGTTACTTTTTAAATAATTATACATGACATAGATCTATGCATAAAATGAGACTGGCAATAATGGTATTCAACTTTCCAGACAACAGTCAACAATCCAAAATTATTGTAACTCATTGAGCTACATGTAAATGAGGTTGTCAAAATCAATGTCAGCAGAACAAGACATCTTGCCGACAATAAATGCAGTATGCATATTCCTCCCCTTTTGTGCTTGCTCTAATAAAGGGAAATCGTTCCTTGTATTCCTGTTTGTACTTCTGAATTCGTCTTGCTGCTGTTCCGCTCATTTTGACAGATTTTCTTCCGAGACAAATCACAAAGTATACGGTACCTCCGGACCCACGGTGCGCTAGCCGCGATAGCGAATGCATGCATGCTGATATGCGCATGCAAACGTATAGAAATTATACTTACAAGATTTGCCAGCGCAAGTATTTACGTACGGAAATGTTACGTACGGAAACACATATCAGAGTGCACGTGGCGCGCAGCAACACGCTGCCACTGTACGTACATATCAGTGCACGCTGCACGCACCTTGCGCAATGCAATCCGTTCAGCACTCGATCGGAGGTACCTCGATCGGATCAATGCTATGTATGGAAAGCCAAATTCCCCAAAATCGGAACGTTCCGTTTTTTAGGGCTATAAAAACTTCAAAAACGGAACAGTTCCGTTAAAATCGGAACGGTTGGCATGTATGTGTATATGGAAGATGATATATTTGTAATTATGGATCTCTAGTTTTTCTGCTTCGGAAAACAGCCTTAGCAAGTAATTATTTGTGATCATAATGATGCAATACTTACTGTATTTTTTTGGTGTCTTTTAATTTTCTACAGCAACTGAAGTGACTTCGTGCAGTCAAGGGTCTTCTACCCTCTTTTGTTAGTTGAAGCATGAAATAAAGATTGGCCTCATACCCAATAGAACCGCAACAACTGCTTCGTCTGATTTATGACTTCGAGTCGACACCCTCACATTTGGTAGTACGGATGGGGTGCGGTTTCTCTTCAGATAACTGAGAACTATTGGCTTGGCCAGGTGTGTAGCTAGCAAGGAGTACAAGACAAGAGAGGGTAGGAAGATGACGACCATGGAAGAGATGAGGGAGGAGCTGGAAAAGCTGTCATTGGAGCTGAAAAGTCGGGAAGTGTATTTCCCTCCCAAGGAAAAGAAAATCGGGCCCTTTAGTGGCACTGAAAACATGCTGGTCTCAGATTTTGTGGAGGACATTAGGGCAGGAATTAAACTTCGAAAGCTGATGGGTGAGAGTGCTATTGACTACGTGCTAGCTCACTTGGAAGGATCTGCAAGGCAGGAGGTGCAACATCGCCAAGATAGAGAAAAGAAGGATGCTGAGTCAATAATGAACATCTTATTGGAAGCTTTTGGGGACAAGCTGAATGCTAGTCAACTGATGCGGCAGATATATAACCGAGTACAAAATGAAGATGAGTCTGTGACACAGTACGCATATGCCTTACTTGCTTTGGCAACTAGATTACAACGCAAACCAGAAGCTCCTGAGTCAAAGAGTGTCATCAAAGAACAGTTTAAAGATGGATTGAGTGACCCAGTACTCAGGAGGGAAGTGAAGCGATTGTATAAAGAAAAGCCAGAATTGTCTTTCCTAGAGGTACGAGACTGGGCAGTGGAGATGGATGAGGAAGAACTTAAGGGCATCAATCCACGCAAAAAGAAATGCACCACCTACCAGGCCGAAGCCACAGCATGGATGGGAAAGATGGAAGAGGGGCTCACTGCAGCGATCAAAGGCCAAACAGAGGTACTTGACAAGATGATAGCACAGCAGGGCATTTTCAACTCTCGTCTTAGTCAGTTAGAGGAGAGACAGGACAATGCCAGGAGTGCCAGGAGACCCCCTCTAGACAAGAGTAAGATTGAGTGCCATCGGTGCCACCGCATGGGACATTATGCAAGGGAGTGTGAGAGTCCTCATCCTGGGGGCAATCCACGTACACAGAGGGCTGGACAGTCAAACAGTCAGCAACAGCAACAGGGAAACTGAATACACCCAGGGCTGAGAGCCAAGCCCTGGGTGCCTCCTCAGAGATATTTGGAAGGGGCTCTAGAAATGGAGAGCAAGACAAGCTTATTGGTATTTGCCCCACGAGCGTCATAGCTATTAATGGGATGGAACTCACTAGTGTGGTAGACTGTGGGTCTCAAGTCACAACCATCACTTCCGATTGTTTCCAGCGATCATTTCCGCCATCGACCCTGAAGGACTTAAACTGGATTTCTCTTAATTAGTGCAGCAAATGGGACAGATATTCCTTACTCTGGATATTTTGAGGCTGATGTGACTATTGCTGGCATTACAGTTCCGGAAAGAGGTATTCTAGTAACAAATACAACACATAAACCAAAACATCCCATTCTGCTTGGAATGAATGTTCTACAAGGATTGCCAGTTGAGACCTTAGCAACCGTAATTGGAGCTGATGCGTCGGTTGTCACAAGCAAGAATTTGATTGACAAGGACAGTACTGTGGGCCTTGTTCGTGTAGCTGGAAGAGGGAAAGTGAGAATCCCAGCTCGATCAATACAAGCTATAGAGGTGACAGGACCCACTTGTCCTACCCAAACTGCGGTAATTGTGGACCAAATTGTGCAAACTCCGAAGGGAATCATCCTCAGTCCGACGCTGGCTCATTCGTGTAGGGGAAGAATAACTGTACAATTATACAATACCACAGATGAGGATATCTTCTTAAACACCAGAACTCCAATTGGATCTCTTCAACTTGCATCGATGATCGATGACAATAGTGTCCTGTGTCAAAGAATGGTTGCAAGTGGGGACCAACAAGCTGATACAGGTAGAATGAAATTGCTAGAGACACCTGGACTACTATGGCAAGGACTGAGTGAGGAGCAGAGACAACAAGCAGAAGCCCTGTTGTTACGAAATAGTGATGTCTTTGCTGCCTCAGAAGAGGACTTGGGCCACACGGAAACGGTAACCCACCGTATCAGAACAGTAGACGAGGAGCCTGTCAAGCTTCCTTACAGACGTATCCCTCCATCCCAGCTGGAAGAAGTTAGAGAGCATATCCGAAAGCTACTGGAGAAAAAGGTTATCAAGGAAAGTACAAGCCCTTATGCATCACCAATTGTATTGGTTCGGAAAAAAGATGGTTCATTGAGGCTATGTGTGGACTACCGCAAATTGAATCAGAAGACTAGAAAAGATGCCTATCCAATACCAAGGATTGACGAATCGATGGATGCATTACATGGCGCACAATGGTTTTCGACACTTGATCTCTTGTCAGGCTATCACCAAGTGGCTATGGATGAGAGGGACCAGCACAAGACAAGCTTCACAACACCCTTCGGCTTATACGAATATGTACGGATGCCTTTTGGATTGTGCAATGCGCCAGGAACGTTCCAGCGTCTTATGCAAATTTGCCTAGGGGACCAGTTCTTCTCGTCTGTCTTGTGCTATTTGGACGACATTTTAGTATATTCGTCTACTTTTGAAGAACAGCTTGAGAGACTAGACCGTGTATTTGACAGGCTTCGTGAGCACGGACTAAAGATCAAGCCCTCAAAATGTGAACTTTTCCGTCCAGAAGTGAGGTATTTGGGCCATAAAGTTTCCAGAGAGGGCGTGCAGACAGATCCGGGCAAGATAGAGGTGGTAAGGAGCTGGCCAACACCAAGAAATCTGAAAGAGCTACGCTCTTTTCTAGGGTTCTGCTCTTTCTATCGACGATTTGTGAAGGGATTTTCACAGACTGCTGGCCCCTTGCACAGTCTGGTTGCCATCCGAGGTGAGAAGAGGAAGGAAGGAAAAACAACACCCTTTACATGGGAACCAGAGCATCAGGCGGCATTTGAGGAACTCAAAGAGAAGCTATGTCAACCGCCAGTGCTTGGCTATGCAGACTTCGCAGAACCATTTGAGCTCGAGGTTGATGCAAGTCTACAGGGACTAGGAGCTGTTCTTTTCCAGAGACAAGGTGGTAAGCGTCTGGTAATTGCTTATGCCAGTCGAACGCTCAGAGGTGCAGAGAAGAACATGGAAAGGTACTCCAGTATGAAGCTTGAACTACTGGGGATGAAATGGGCAATCTCAGAGAAATTCAGAGACTATCTTATTGGGAGTACGTTTACGGTGTTCACAGACAATAACCCTCTGGCTCATCTTAACACGGCAAAACTTGGGGCTGTAGAACAGCGATGGGTTGGCGCCCTCTCTGCATTCAACTTTGATGTACAATACAAACCTGGAGCAGCAAACAAGGTAGCTGATGGATTATCTCGTCGTCCCTATGCGTCACCTGACACTGCAGAAGAGGCGACATATACTTCTGATGGATGCTGTATGGTAGTGGGAGCTACTCGGTTGCCGGAGGAACTCCAGCACACTCATGCCTATTCCCAATCTATCCAAGATGAGGGGGAAATGCAGGATAATGAGGAACCTTCTCGTACGCCTGCCCCATTTCCAAATTATTCAAGGGAACAGTTAGAGGAATTTCAGCTTCGAGACCCAACCATCAGCAAATTCAGATACTACTGGGAGACAAAAGAAAAGCCAAACAGAGAACAGAGGGCTAGAGAGGATGAAAGTGTCATACTTCTCTTGCGTCAAATGGAGAAGATAAGAGAAAGGGATGGTCTCTTGTACAGAGTCTGTGACATGGAAAATGTTTGGCAGCTACTTTTACCCAGAGTGCTGATCAAGGATGTTCTGAAGGCTTGCCATGACCAGACAGGACATCAAGCTGTGAAGAGGACTACAAGCATAGTAAGGAGTCGTTGTTACTGGCCAAGGATGACGATACACATCAAAGATTGGTGTCATCAATGTGATAGATGTGCAAAGGCGAAAAATCCACCAAAGATCCGAGAACCCATGAGGGGATTGAAAGCAACTCGCCCAAATGAATTGCTGGCTGTCGACTTTACTATGCTTGAACCGGACTCAACAGGCAAGGAAAATGTTCTCGTCATGACGGATGCTTTTTCTAAATATTCATTGGCAGTCGCAACTAGGAATCAAACAGCTGAAACTACTGCAAAGGTGCTGGTAAGAGAATGGTTTAGCAAGTTTGGTGTGCCACATCGACTCCATTCAGACCAGGGGCGTAATTTTGAGTCGTCGCTTATTCAATCCTTGTGTCGACAGTACGGAGTCCACAAATCGCATACCACACCCTACCACCCAGAGGGTAACGGGCAAGCCGAGAGGTTCAACAGAACATTACATGATTTGCTAAAGACACTCCCTCCCGAAAAGAAACGTCGATGGTCAGAATTTCTTCCAGAAGTACTCTATGCCTACAATGCAACCCAGCATGCCTCAACTGGTTTCACCCCCTTCTACATCATGTTTGGGAGGGATCCCAAACTTCCAGTTGACTTTCTACTGGGTAAAGAGTCGCAACACGACACTTCTGCGAATGACTGGCTGACTAACCACACCAAGGTTCTACAATGGGCTTACCAAAAAGCAGGGGAGAGACTTGAACATGATGCATCTTATCGCAAGGCACACTACGACAAATCTGCCAAAGAGAGACCAAATGGGTGCTAGGTAGCGCGAGTGGATCTTACATGGGAACGACCCCCATTGTATAATCATTGACAGACCAATCGGCAAGAACAGTTAGAAGCGAAGTAACCACATCGCCAAGCTAGCGACGCCAAGCTAGTGACAGTTGGCACCAGAGTATACCTTAAGAGCCATCCTCAAGGTAGACATAAAATTGCTGATGGGTGGCAATCAACAGTATACAAGGTTGTATCCCGACCAGGAGAGGGAGCAGTCTATGCTATTGAGAAAGCAGATGGAAGTGGTGGTCCACGGACTGTCAACCGAAGGGAGCTAAAGGTGTGCCCAGTCAGGGAACAATCTGACCCTGTCATTCCCAAAACCAGACAAGGGAGAACACGCGATTCCCCCCAAGAGCAGACTGATAGCATTTCTGATGATTCCAGCTCAGCCATTGCAAGAGTGGTAAGGGATCTACCAGCGGAGTCCACTAATGAACAGCCTGAAGTACATGTCTGGACCCCTGAACCAGAGTCCAGTGATGAGGACGATTCCCCCTCCCCGTCTACACCAGAAATTAGTGATGATGATGACCCCCTTTCCCCACTTCCACGTCGAAGCCTGAGGCCGACTAAAGGGAAACACAGCAATCCTCTCCGTCTACCTCGGTCTGCAGCGACAGCTGTGGTAATGCCAGAGTAAAGCCAAGTGCACAGAACGAACATAGTGGAGTTTTGATTGACAGACTCCAAAGTGGTATTAATCGTGAGTTACATTGGGATGAAACCTCTACGTCATATTAATAGCAACTCTTACTACCGGATATAGAACTATTATTGGAGAAAGAAGTTGGAATCTTGTGGACGATATCAGCGTTTGTGAACATAAAACTTTAATCGATATTATTGAAAAAAACATTGGGAATATTGATTGATGATATGTGTTTGTGAACACACACACATTAATTATAGTTTTTGCTCTTTTCATACAAGTATAGGAAAGAAATGTATTTAAAGTTGGGATTTGGGGAGGAGAATAATTTTGTATGTATATCTGGAGAAGTATATACTGTATGTTTATTTTGAGACAAGGACAAATTTATACTGTACATGTATCTTGGTACCTAGTATGCAACTATATGGAAAGCTAAATTAGTGCTCATGAGTTTTGTTTAAGTTATATATTATTATTATACTTATGTCAAGTTTGAGGACAAACTTTAATTTTAGCAGGGGAGATTGTGAGGGAATGAGAAATAGTTCTTTCTTTATAATGCAAATTAGTCAGGGGTAAAAGGAATGTACCTAACTAAAGAGGAGTGATATGCCCCAGTGGACATACACTCACTGCGTGCAGGTTAAAGCTCATACATGCAGTGAGCAGAGATGAGACTGGTTGTAGCTGTGCCTACATGTACATGAAGCTGTAATTGATGTCTCATCCTGATATTCTTGATGTCTATAGTTGGTTTTGGACACCTTAATATGTGAGTACAGTAT